CGACGCTTGTTTCCTCAACTGCACACACACAGTGATTCCATTCGTTGGTAAATTTAATCTCTGTGCCGTGTGTGCGAATCGTATTTAATTACGCATTTTGTGATTTTCCTATCATTACCACTTTTGGTGTTGATAATTACATATGTAAGTTGTTTTCTCGCTGGTTAATCAGGCGTTCAACTCAACACTTTCCAACTGTTAAAGTTGCCGCAAGAGTTCGACGTGTTGAAGGCAGAAGGCACAGAAGCAGTTGTAGGTGTAGATACATATATATATATATATATATATTTAGCGCTTTGTAACTGCTGAAGCGATGGATTTTCCGCTCCTCTACCACTTTGTGGTGTGCATCTGGATGGAGGGACCTACAGTTTACACCAAGCCGACGCCTCCGAACGGCAGATGGTTTTTTATGAGGGGCACTGACTTTCATGTCAGAAACGCACTCGGAGGGCTTGAAATTCCCTGCGGAGAGGCGACCGCACTTAGAAAAATTACTTTTCTATAACTTTTAATGTTGGTCGAACCAGAACTCGAACCCTGGCCTTCAGAATGGCAGTACGCCATGATAATCAATCGGCTATTGCCGCTTCTATGTCAGAGTATATGTAAATATGTATTTTAGCATTGTCTCCTAAACTTAAAGTGAAGTACTTGTGGGCGATCCTGTTGAGGAAACTGTCCTGGAAGTCAAACATCGATAGAAAGAGTAACTTTAGCTAAGCGGCTGAAAGTTTCGCCATGCGTGCGGCTCTCAGAAGGATCTTTGTGGCATAACAAGCTACCCCAACCTCGGTTCTGAGTCTAATTCGTATGTATTAAAGTGCCTGTGGTAATTCTTGGTAAATTTAACGCCGCAAAGTCGCTGTAAGACTTAGGGCTTCTGGGTTGGATTGTTTGGATTCAGGTGCTCTCTATTGAGCTCAAATTCATTCTCAGTTGCCTGGATTATTATTTCACCCTTCATCTTAATTCCAACGTGTGGGGACTGGACTACTCGTAGACTAAACTAAACTTAACAAACTTAACAAAAGGGTCAGTGCGGGAGATTCTTATGACATTTAATACAGTGACAATAAGAAAAAGGACAAAAGTAAATGTGGTATCGGGTTCATGTTAGTTCATTCCGCGAGTCCTAGCAATCTCCAAAGATTGACTTAACAAAATCCCCACTTCCCAACCATAAAGAGCTCTTATCGCGGAATCGGTGAAGACTGCTTCCAAGTGTGATTTCTTTCTAACAGTAAAACTCACATGGATAGCCAATCGATTGTGGAGGCTCACTTCATATTGAGCTCCAAAAATGTGTAGGAATGCTTTTCGTCTTCGTCAACGGCTGAAGAACACCAAATTTCATGAAAATAAAACTAATGGATTCTGCACCAAGAATTACTTAAAACTCAGGCTCATTTCACACCAGATCCATTTTTAGTCGATAAACGAAACAAAAGTATTTTGGGGTGATCTGATTGATTCCAAAAAATACTAACCCAAAAATGTAAGCGAAAGTCAAAGCCAGCGTCAACAACCTTCTGCCTAATCGACAGAGGGCGGCATCTGAAGGATAATCGATAAATCCAACTGACCGATGTACGAAAACCAGTGACAGTCCGGACTGCAGTGAACTCGAGACCGAATGCGCAAGATTGCGGTGTCACTTGCCTCCTACACTCAACAGCTACAGATTAGTTCATCAACTGCTTTAAATTAAGTGGCGAAAGGAAAGCTCAACGAACTTTTTTGTAATACCAACATATGAGATTTCACGGCTCAACTGGCTTTTTATGGCTCGCGGCTGACAGGGGAATATGATTCACTCACTTCTTAGAACATTGGTGACTAATTCACTCACTTCTCATAAGACAAATGCTTGTTTTCGAAACTATACAAATGATGGCAAGTTGAATTTATGTTAGCGATTTCTACTACGATGCCTTCTTCTCGCGAGTCTAATGTTGACCTCCTCTATGTCAGACCTTTTTGGTGTGTTTTCATCTTCATCTGTTCAAGTCACAAGATCTTTAAGGCCATAGAATCTCTGAGGTTCTTCTACTAAACACGATTATACCGAAGATGAAGACTGATCACGTTGCAGCTTCTCTATCAAACCACATAAGTGCCGAGCAAAGAAAACTTCTTCGTTTAATAATCCTATCACTATTTTGTGACACTTTTAGGCCTAGATTCTAAAAGTCAAAAAAAAAAATTAAATATGAAGTAGATTTTTTGGTGAGTGGAGAGGGCCTCAATGCATTTCACCCATTTTCCTTTCCTATCCAACCCACAACAGAGCAGTCAGTGAAAGTGTGCTGCATTCCAAAATATAACTCAATTAACTTTTTTATCGAAATATTTCCAAATTATATTTATTTAAATTATAAATAAACTAATTAGATGAGCTAAATCACTGCCACACAACTAACTACATTCGTACATACCTACATATACTTGTTTATATGTGTTGGCACTCTACTCCGACAAATTGCAAAATTTTTCAATTTTAATTTATATTTGCAGTTTTATGGCCACTTCTGCCATTTAAACAATTTTATAGTTAATGTAACACACACAAAGTATGCACATATATATTTATTTATGTATGTATATATTCTATGTAGGAATATTTATGCTCAACATTTATTATAATCTGACAGCTAATTAACCCAATAAATAATTTTTAAAGCAGGCAAAGCACTCAAAATACAAATAAATATACTCCTACATATATGTATATATAAATGCGAATAATATGTAATGTAAAATAACAGATGTTAATCTGCTGTTAACCTACCACAAATGGCATGCAATGCGCGTTGCAACTACAACACTACAATGCATAGTGCACAGCAGGCATTTAGGCTTTATTATTATTGTTATTGTTTCTACAATGCATGCAATTACATTTTCCTTTCATTTCGTTTTTTTTTTTTTGTAGAGAAATATTAAAATTAAACAAATAATGCAAAGGATGTACGAGAGTTTGTAGAGATTTCTTACAAAGTACAGATCATATTAATTTTAATTTATATTAAATATTGTAGCATAATTACGTTAAATTTCAAATTGAATTTTTTTTAAGATTTAGTTAACTTAAATTTTTTTTTAAATTTAATAATAAATTTTAAGAAAAAAAATTGTAAAAAATATATAATTTTTTTCTTATTGTTTTTTTTTATCTTTTTGATTGAAAAGGGGCACTTTTGTAGTAGCTTTTTGAATTATTTAAAAAAATTAGTAAAAAATAAATTTAAATAATAAGAACACCAAATAATGTATTAAAAAAATTTTAATTATTTTTATTTTCTTCGTAGCTCAGTAATTTTTTAAAACAAATTTTGAAAATAAATTTTTACAATTTTTAAAAACCTATTTTTTAAATTCATAATTACTTTTTACATACATATGCACGCAGTAAAAAATGTGTAGCTATTTTAAATTATTAATAAAAAGCAATATATTAAATATATGTACATATATATTAATATTTATATATAAAACTTCATTTATTTGACAAATTAGTGATAAAACATTTTTAAAATAAAATTTTAGGTACACTTGATTTTGTTTAATATATTTTTTAAACCTTTAGTTGGAAAGTGGCACTTTGTGTGTATATGTATGTTAGCCAAAGGTAATTTCTAGCTTTTTTTAGTTATTAAAAAAATAAATATTGAAACAAAGAATTTTCTCATTTTTTTTTTTTTAATTTAATAAAAAGAAGAAGTGTTACTATGATTTAAAGCTTCGATAAGTTAATTGATTTTGTTTTGTTAAAATATTATTTAAAATCTATTAATTTTTTATAATTTTAATTTATTATATCGAATCGAATTTTTTCAATGATTTTCAGGTTTCAATATTTAAAAAAAAAAAATTTAAAAAAAATATTTGGGGACACATATTTTTTCTTATTTTGTTAATTTTCAACTTAGAAAGTGACACTTTTAAGCAAAATAGATAACAGAAGATAACTTATAGATGTTTTAAATAAAAAGAAAAATATTAAAAATAAAATATTAGAAATAAAATGTAAAAAAATCGATTGGAACGTCAATATTGGACAAATTACAGTTCTCAAAAACACATTTCTTTATTTTTCTATTTGTTTTGGGACTTTCAATAATTTATATTTATAACAGAGAAAATTAATTATAATAACGAAAAGAATGTCTTAAAGTTAAATTATGCAAAAAAAAAAATAAAAAAATAGAAATAAAATATAAAAAAAGTAATAAAAATTTAACAAGAACACAAAATAGTACTAAAAATGAAAATATTATTATTTTTTTAATTTTTCCATAATTTAATGGATTTAATTTCTTCAAACATGCTTAAAAAGTTAGTTAATAGTTACAATATATATATATATATATATATTTTTTTATTAGATGTGGCACTTATTAGAATTTTTACATATATACAGTTGAGAAATTGTCTTTGGTTTTAAATTTATTAATTACAAATTTTATAAAATAATAAGAATAATAAGAATAGGTAAAATATATATATTGGAATAAATATTGTATTATTCATATTTTTAATTCCTTCCTGTTTTATTTATCAATAATTTAGTCAATTTTTTTATCATTTTTGAAACAAACTGAAACTAACTATTATATTTTATGGTTTTTTAATTGCATCCTTATACAGATTCTCTAACGAATATTTGGTTATGCTCCTTTTTTAATACATATTTAATAAATATTTTTCAATATTTCTAATTATTTAATAATAAATTTACACAAAAAAAGTATTTTTTTTTTTTATTTCTGACGCAAAATAAAATTTTACTTTCATTCCTTCCCCTCATTCATAAATATTTCCTACAAGAACAACAACACCCATCAATAATAATTAAATAAATATTTAAATTATACACTTAAAATAATGTGCACACTCAAATACGTATTCACTTGCAACAACAAATAAAATGATATGTAAATAAATTTTTTATTAAGTCTTTTCCTTTTTGTTTTCTCCCACACTATTTACAGGTAATTAAACAAGTCCTATCAACGTGAAAGCTCTCAACAAATCAACGTTTAAAACACTTAACTCAATCACTGGCATACACACACATACACACACACATGGGCACACACATCGGAGTAAGTGCAGAGATAACAAGTGAGTTGTTGTTATTATTATTTTTTATATTTCTGCTGTTAAAAACGTGTGTATATTTGTACTTCCATTCATTTGAAATACACACTCACATTAACAACAATAGCAACAATGTTTGTACTAATATACAGTTAAGGTGCTAGAGAGCGTCAATCACATGCTATAGCAATCAACTAGTCGTCAAGCGATAAGAAGGTGCGGCTAAAGCAGATAAAGTGCAATTAAACAATATAAAATAGCGCTTAAAAAAAAGCAAAAAAAAACTGCAAAAAAAAAATAAAAGTGTAAGTAAATTTTTAGCACAGGAAGACACGCGAAAGTGTGTAATTAAAACAAATGAAATTTGTGGGCGAAAAAAGGAGAAAAGAAAAAAATTAAAATACTATAAACAGCAACAAACAATGCCAAAACCAAGACTGAGAAATAAATTTAATGAAATAGTTTTATTTAAAGTATTTCTTCTGTATTTTTTCATGTGAATAATTTTATTTTTTTTTTTTCGTTATTTATATCAACGCATTATGGCCGCAGTCGCCCTGTTGTCTGTTGAAACGCTACGCTTGGCCAACTGTTATCTCAGCTTGTGCTGTGCATACAAATACTTGTGTAGATGTGTATAGACATATATATATAAATATGTATAGCTTCTGATGTATTTTAAACAAAACTAAAATTTGTAAAATGGTTTTGTTTAGCTTATTTTGGCAAAATTTTTCATTCTCAAAAATGTAACAATGAAATTTTATATATTTTTTTATTTTTTTTTATTCTTTTTATTTAATATCATGTTTTCTGTTTCATTTGATTTTATTTCTTTTACTTTTTTTATATTATTTTAGGTTAATTTATTTTATTTTACTTTCCTTTATTACATTTTAATTTATTTTCCTCTCTTTTATTTTTTTAAGTTTCGTTCTATTTGATTTTATTTTATTTTAATTTATTTTATTTTATGTTATTCATTTTAATTTATTTCGTTTAAATTTATAACATTTTATTTTATTTTCCTTTTTTACATTTTATTTAACCATAATTTCTTTTATTCGAATTAATTTAAGTTTTTTTTTCATTTTAATTAATTTTATTTTATTTTATTCTCTTTATTTCATCTTCTTTATTTTATTATATTTTATTTTTTTATAATTTTCATCTCATTTTTTTTTGCCTTATTTTATTTTAATGTATTTTGATTTTTTTAATTATTTTATTTACTTAAATTATTTTTTTTTTTAATAATTTCATATAATTTTTTTTATTTTAAATATTTTTTTCCCTTTACTTTTTTTTTTTGCCTTTATATTTTCAAACTTTATTTTATTTTATTTTATTTTAATTCAGTAAAATTAATAAAAACTTATTTTGTTTGATTTTATTGGACTTTACTTAATTTTTTTTTACTTTTCTATTTTCATTTTATTTATTGAATTTTATTTTATTGTTTTCATATTTTTTTCACTTCATTTTGTTTTACTTTATTTTATTTTAATTTATCTTATATTATCTTATTTTATTTCAACTTAGTTAATTTTGTTTTATTTTAATTAATTATTTTATTTCATTTTTTTAATTTTTTTGTGTTATTTTATTTTATTCTGCTTTATTTTATTTTATTACTTCTTTTTATATTTTTTTTCTTATTTTATATTATTTTGTTTTCTTTTTTATTTTACTTCATGCAATTTTATTTTATGTTGTTTTATTTTATTTTACTTTATTTTATTTTATTTTATTTTATTTTATTTTATTTTATTTTATTTTATTTTATTTTATTTTATTTTATTTATTTCATTGTAATTTATTTTATTTGAAATCATTTTATCTTATTTGATTTTTTTATATTATTTTATTTTATGTTGTTTTAGTTATTTTTTTTTATATTATTTTCTTTTTCAAAAAAATTATTGAACACTGAAACGAATTGCCTTGCGTGCCCATATGTAACCTTTCTATTAACAAACATTCATGTACTTATTTTACAAACATTCACAGTTTGTTCATTTTATTTTTCGCCTTGTAAGCAAATGTCTGACGTACATATGAGTATGTGTGTGTAAAGAGCAATCAAATATTTAATTTAAATGGACACCTGCTTTGAACTGACCTTGCCCTATACCAAATGGCCGAGTAAGGAATTTTCAATTTAGAATGTACATATATACATATATATATATATATATATGTATGTACGTCCTCATATATCTAAATTGGTCGGCAGACACGCAGAACTTTTAGTTTATACATGCAAATGAGTAAACACCTACCAAATTTTGTACTCGTCTTGTATACATACATATATACTTACTCCGACATACTAACTTATTTACATGGTATATGTACTGAGCTGTTACAAAATAAATATTTGTTGCCTCTTTCGCTGACGCAAATGGCCGTCTGTTAAATTTTCAACTATGAATTTGTGTTTTCCTTCTATTATTTCCCCCTCAAATAATTTATTTTATTTACTTCAACCAATTTCCGGGTACTTTGCTTTCGCCTTGTGAAATATTTAAATTGCCTTTTTGCTAGATAATAATTTTTTATTTTTTTATTTATTTTATTTTTAAATCAGTCAAAATTGTTGGTAATCAATCAAGGTCAGCTCTGCTGTATGAAATGTTCAAAAATATCCAAGTGGCCACGTAGAGTGAGGGACAGCCTTGAAAAACTTAAAAGAGAAAATGGTGAGTGTAAAGTGTAAGGTTAGGCCACGAAAGGGTCGCTATTAATGAAAAAAGCTTAAGGTGGGAAAATTTTGAATTTTATTTTGACTTCAATAGAAAGTTCAGAATTAAATTAATTTCAATTCAAATTGAGATCACACTGAGTTGAGTTAAATTGAACTAAGCGGTGTTGGATTGAGGTGAGTTAAATTAAGTATAGTTGGCTTATATTAAAAAGAGTCGGCTTGAGGGCATTTGAATTGGGAATATTAGAGTTAAGTTAAACAGAATTCAGTGCGGTTAAGTTGGATAGAGTTTTGAGTAAAGTTGCGTTATGAGTTTATTTGTGTTGAATTCCTTATGAGTAAAATTGCTAAGGTAGTGTTGAGTTGAGTATGCAGAGTAGAGTTCAGTTTGGTAAAGTTGATTTGAATTTGTGTTAAGTTTGTTCGATGTGGCTAATATGAATTGACTAGATTTCATTTGAGTCAAGTTGAGTTGAGTTCAGTTGAATTTGGTTTCACTTTGGATGAGTTGAATTAAAATAAGAACACATTGAGTTGAGTTTAGCAAAATTAAGTTGAGTTGAAATGAATTGAACTAAATAAGGTCGAGTTAAGTTGAGTTGATTGTAGCTGAGTTGAGTAAAGCCAAGTTTAGTCAAATTGAGTTTAGTTAAGTGAATTAAGTATAGATCTTTTAGTTAAGTTGAGTTTAGCTTAGTTAAGTTAAATACACTTCAGTTAAGTTCAGTGGAACAAAGTTTAATTTTTAATTATGGCGGTTTTAGTTGAACTGAGTTCAGTTGATATAAGTTGAGATTTGATTGAATTAAGTTAGTTTGAGTTGATTTAATTAAGATGGGAAGAATCATTAAGTTAAGTTTGGTTGTATCAAGTTGGTATGGGTTAGTTTAAGTTGAGTTTAACTGATTTGCTCAGATAAGTTTTTTTTTATTTTTTATTTTTTTTTTTTTTGAAAATAATTTGATTTGGATGAGTTTTGAAAATGAGCCAAAAACTGAGTAAGGCTAAACTAACATATACTGACTTAGTTTGAAGCAAGAAAACCAAACTGAACTGAGTTAAAAGGTATAACTTAAGCGCTATCTTTAATTGAGTTTAGTTGTATTACTTAAGTTAATTTACTATATTTAATCCTAATAATTAATTTGGCTTGAAATCATTTTTGGCGGAAACCAGTCAGGAAGAGTTAATAAAAGAGTGTCGCTCAAGTTGGTATACACATTTGACTTAGAAAAAATAAATTGAATGATTAAGTTCAGTTTAATTGAGTTCATTTCAAAAGGCTGAGACATGTTGAGCTCTGTTGAGTTTCTATTGAGTTAAAATAAGTTGAGTAATTAACAGAGTATAAATTGAAAGGAATAAATTCCTAATAAATTCATAAATCAAATCAGTGGAGTGGAATTATTTATTTATTTTTACTTATTTTTTTTTTTTTTTTTTTTTTTGAGTTGAGTAGAATTGAGTGGGATACACATTTTTGAATTCAATACAGTTTCTTTCACTTTTATAGTTGCTGTGCGCTCATTTCAAGTTAGCAGTAAATAAAGCTGCTCTCTGGACCCCATCAACTCACCCATTGACTTACAATTCATCAAATTTATGCAAATATTATATATTTCATATATTTCTTTCAAAGAGAGCGAGTGAAGAGAGAGAAAATGCACTCGAAGATTGACATGAAATTTCCACCGAATATTATTTTTGCTAACATAACGGTGTTTGTGGCATCAACATTTACCATTTACAGCATAAATTGCAATTTAGCAACAGACAAGTTGATATCTGCCAACGCACCATTTTGCACTCAACATTTTCATTTCATTGTCTGTTAATACATAGCCTAGATATATACATACATAAATATATATATGTATATCTAAGTGTATATAAGTGCCTTTTCCTTTGCCTGTATTGCCATTTTCCACAGCTGAGCATATGAATCCAGCTTTTTGATGCACGAAATGACTCAACTTCCTAAATCAAAACTAAAACCAAAATCAAATCAAATTAAAATTTCCATCAACTTCTACCAACAACAATGTTTATACAAATAACAAACAAATGCAACAATAAAAACAATTTTAGTAATAAAATAAATATTTCAAAGCGTCAAAACAAAGACTAGACCATTCTGCCGGATTAGAAGGCAGTGAAGGGTGGTAAATGAGAATTTATTTTGGAAGGTCACAATTTTACCGTTATCTATATTGTATATAAATATACATAGTTTTAATGGCAATGGAATTTTTTTTTATTTGTGGCAGTACCGTTGTTTCGGCTGCTTTGTTTGTGTTCATAAATGCGTCGTGCCAAA